TGAACCGCCCTGCCCGGCTTTGCGCGACTGGAGAAACAGCTGGGCTTAATTAAACGTGAGCCACCTAGGCGGGCCCATCTGTGAAATGGGAACACAGAGCTCCTTGAGCAAGCGTCCAGCCGGATGAACGGAGCACGTGCTGTATGCGGGGCTCGCCATTGCCCTCAGGGCGCTACCGTCCAGGAGACGCCTGTTTCCCGGAAAACACCTCTTCCTATGAAGATGGGGGGGGCTATTTTATAAACAATCCAGATTTCCAGCTTTTCTTAAAAATCCTAGACCGCATTCCCTGGGCCACTGTCTGCTGGAGCCTCAGGTGCCCCTAGGTGGCAGGGGGCCCCCTCCAGTTTTCCAGGAACCCCACCAGGCCCACTTCACTCACGATGCCCTGCCCTGGGGATGTTTGAGATGGAGACCAGACACCTTAGTTATCCAGGTGGGGTGCGCCCCAGAGAGGATGGAAGATTCAAATCTACTAGCTAGCTGGGCACCTCCTTAAATCCCCACCTGTAAAGCAGGACTGAAATGAGAAGGCACAGACCACCGGAAGTGCTAGGAGGAGCAGAGAATCCATAGGTTGCTTGTTGAATCTCAACGTGAATCTCTTTGGGAGAAACAGTCCTCAGAGGTTCATCTTTGGAGGGAAGGAGTTTCTGGAGAGATTTGGCAGGGGAGGGAAGGGAGCCCCGGGAGAATACTGTGGGGGTGGGGTGGTTACGGGCAGCTACCTCCCCCTTGAGGGAGAATCTGTGCCCCTAAATGCTTGCAGTGGATGGGCAGTAAAGTTTCCTCCACTCTCGGTTCTGCTCTGGGCTGAGTCTTTGATAGATAGCAGCCTGCTTTGGACTGTACTTTCAGCGAGAGGTGTGGTCCCCCTGCGGCCGAGGCAACAATGAACACATTTTGTTTTCTTTGGGGTGAGGTCACAGCGATGACAAGGGACTCAGCACCCCTTAATTATGCTCATAATGACAGTCTTTGAGCACAGTCTCTTGGCCAGGCTGGATCCTACAGGGCCTTTTATAAGAAAGACAAATTGGCGCCCCCTCCTGGTGGAGGAAGCACAGAAAAGTACTCCTATTTGGTTGGACAGGTCAAAAAAGTGCCCCTTCCTTTGGACTGAGAGCATAGGGATCCCAGCCTCACTTGCCGCCTAGAACAGGTGTTTTTGAGCAGTGCACAAAATGTACAACTGTCCATGACATTCCAAATAGCCTTTCCTTACATCATTCTCAATTCATGCTCACACAGTCCCATGGGGTGAAGAGCCTGCTATCTGCCCTATTTTACAGCTGAAGACATTGAAGCTCTGAGAAGCTGAATCCCTTACCCCAGGTTACAGCAGGCAGACCTGGAGTTTCAACCCAGTTTTCTGACTATGGAGAAGTGTTCACTGCCTTAGGCTCTGAGTGTAGGGATGTGAGGCCTCTGGGCCCATCTGCGGGATCTGTCCCAGCCCAGAACATCCTTCCCCCAGATACCCACACAGCTCACTTCCTCACCAACTTCAAATCTTAGAGGTGGTCACTTTCTCTGGGAAGATTTCTCTCTCTAAATGGCAGTCTTTCTTCCGGCCATTCTGTACTGCCTTCCCTGCTTCAGCTTTCTTTATAGCTCAGTCTGGAATATTGTGTTTTATATGTTTACTGACTATTCCCTTCACCTGAAGGTCGGCCCCATGAAATAGGAAGTTTGGTCTGCTTCATTCACTGTAAAACCCCCACTTCCTAATAGTCTCTAGGCACATAAAAGCTACTCAGTGAGTACTGAATGAATCAATGAAGGCCTAGCTTTCACTGGCCAGCAGGAAGGGCTGTCAGAATACTAATTAGTCACAGTAAGAATTATAATAATGGTGTATAGCACAAGGTTTCTCACCCTTGGCACTCCTGACATTTGGGATTGTTTAACTCTAGTTGGGATGGGGCTGGGGGGCTGACCTTGGCATTACAGCATGTTGAGTTGTATCCCTGGCCTCTACCCACTAGATGCCAGCAGTACCCCATCCCACACTGTCACAACTAAAAATATCTCTAGACTTTGCTAGATGTTTCCCTGCGGGACACAGTTGCTCCCCAAAATTGAGAACTGCTCAAGTCTAACATGACTTGAAATGCACCAGGCCTTGTGCTAAGCAGCTTACACACTTCCCTTGCAATCTGTGTGTGGGTTCCCTCCAAAGCAGACCCCGAGATAAGGTTTAGGGTGCAGGGAGCTTATGTAGTAGGTGATCCCAGAAGGTTCTAGTGAAGGAGCAGAGAGGCGAGACCCTGGGCCCCCAGGTCTTTAAGGTCTGCAAATTGATAGGAGGCTTTGACCAAATTTAAGTATTCCAGGAAGTATAGCAAAAGGTGTACATTTCCCTATACAGGAAATATTAATAAATTTCCTATTTAAAAAAAATTAAGTTCTGTTACTAAAAAGAAGAACTTTTGCTGGAGGACTGAGTTGTTTCTCCTGCAGGGAGACTCTGTGTTTCATCATGAAATGTAGGCTCCCCCACCTCCAGAGGCTAGGGCATTTCTCAGCTGCCTAAGGAAGGCCTCGGTTTAACCATGAATTATCTTGTTAGTTTTAGACTGGCTAGTGCAGCCGAAACCTCGATGGCTTGGGGGCAACGGCTGGCTTCTGGATGGCCCGGAGGAGGTGTTGCAAGGTACCTGCAGGGTGAAGTCCAGCCCTACAGCAGAGCCAGGCTGACCCCAGGAAACTGATAACCAGGGGCTGCCCGTCCTCCCGCAGGCTGCCTGTGCTCAAATACCCACCCCAACACGGGAGGGGATGGCTGGGGCGTGGCCAGGCTCTCAGAATCCCCAGAACAGTGTGGGGTGTGACTGTCCCTTGGAATGGGGCCTCCTCCCTGGGTGGAGAATTCAGAAGGAGGGGGTTTGGGGTTGGTTTTCAGATCCTTAAAGTCACCACAGTGCTTCACTGTTCCCTGCCAAAGTGGCCTCCTTCTGGGGTGGGTGGAGAGCAGTTTCTTAAATGAGCAGCAGACAGGCCCAGGAGCCTGGACCACTGTAGGGGTGCGGGTGTGACCTTTGCGTTTGAGCAGCTGGGCTCATGACTCTGCACACATCTGTGTGCATGTCTGTGTCTGTAGGACATGTGGCTCTGCATGAAACCGTGTGGCTGTCCTTGTAGCTGTGTGTCTGAGTATTTGTGCATTCATGTTCATGCATGTATGTAGCTGTAGGTATGAGTGTGTGTGTGTGCGCGCACAGGATTTGTGTGCATGTGGACGTGGGTGTGGCTGGCTGCATGTGTGTGTTAGGACTTGTGAGATGGTGAAAAATGTGTGTGTGTATCAGGATTTTGGTGTGTGAACACGTGCATACATGTGATTGTAAGCAAGAGCATGTATGTTTCATCATGTGGGGGTGAACTTACATGTACGTAAATCATGATGCATGTGAGGGCGTGTTGGTACACACATGCCACTGTGAGTGAAACCCAAGGCACAGCCTGGAATCTGGGGTGTAGAGCCACGTGGGGAGCTGCCCCTGAGAGCCTGGTGTGTGTCCCTCCTACAGCAGAGGCCTGCAGCACCACAGAGGATGGGGCAGAGCCGCTTCTCTGCCCCTCGGGCTATGAGTGCCACATCCTGAGCCCAGGTGACGTGGCTGAGGGCATCCCCAACCGTGGGCAGTGTGTCAAGCAGCGCCGGCCAGCAGGTGAGTTAGGACACCCAAGCCCCACCCACCTCTCCCTGGAACCTCCCCTGGGAGACCTGTCCTGAGGAAGCTCCCAGACCCCTGAGCCTGGCCCCACCCTCCTCCAGTCCCCCCTCTTCCCTGCTCCTAACCCTCCTCATCTGCACAGGACGTGGGCCAACCCCCTCTGCTGACATTGCTGCATGATCAGTTAGAGCACAGGTACCTGACTGGCTGTAAAACCTGGCAGGGACTTCTCTGAAATAGGTTTTATGACTTTGATGAGGGCGGGATGTGAGACCTGTCCACCTGGGGTATTGTGAGCCAGGCTCTCTCCTGCGTAGATGACTTTTGTTGCAGTAAACACACATCAAAAGAAGATGTTTTCTATCTTGCAGAAATGCAGGTATGTGGAGTGGTCCCGCAGTGGGGAGTAGGGTTAAGGTGTCAGGAGGCTCCAGGCACACAGAGAGCCCAGGAGTGGAGGTTTTCATGAACTTCAGGGTGGCTTCAAAGAGTGCCAGTGGGCTTCACAAGGACCTCTGCTGGGACCACTCAGTGTGACTTTACTATTTGTCTTTGGAGACAAGGCAATAAATAAATAGAGTGAAGGGAGCGAAGAGCTTTGCTTTAGTTTGTATACTTTCCACAGGAGGGCAAGGACAACAGAGCCAGGACTGTTGGGGGGCGGGGTGTGGTGGGGACCACTCCTGCCTCGCAAAGCATGAGTGGGAGAGGTTTGGCATGGAATTTGGCAGAAATGGGTGGCAAGCAAGAATCTGGCACTTTGGGGAGACATAGGGTGACTTGTCAAAGACGAGCTTATGGGAACTTTGAGACCACACAGTCCGGGGCCCGTGTCCCCAGATCAGCATCTCTGAGCCCTCACAGCTGAGGGCAGCACCTCAGTCAAGACTGAGGGTAAGTGCAGCAGACCTATTGGCCAAAAGAATCTGGTGCATTGTCCCAAAGCATTTTCCCCTGACTTGAGAATTTCTTTCTCTAAGGTGTTTCAAGAACAATATAGACATTAAATCTGTTATACATTTAGCATCGTTATCTTTGCAAATAATAGAATTGTGAGACATTGAACTGTCTCGAG